ACACCCAAACCATAACGAATCATAAAAAAATAAATGAATAAAAATAAAATAATAATGTAAATGTTAATGTAAATGTAAAAATTCTAAAGAATTGCTTGAAATATCGACTAAATGTGGAATTGTTGCAACCATTAAATGGTGTGATTATTTGTGCTATGGGGTTTTCTCTCACTTCTGAGAGTAGAGCAGAGTATATAGTCAATACTGTATGATATTGTAAGAATTATGCAATTTTTGGATTACTTACATTTATATAGGTCTTTAACTAATACACTTATGTCAACAGTGTACCTGTTGTGTTTATGTCACATAGCAAAACAGTTTTGCTGCTACTGAGGTGGGATATGGTTAAGGTTAGGGGCAAGTTTGGTGGTATCGTTAGAAAGTGGGGTAGGATCAACACTGTAATTATTGATGTGACTACAAAAATTAATTATAGATGTAATTACAGGAAGGTGTTTTTAAATATAAGTACAATGTTAAAATATGCATGTACATAATAAGTGCATTGTATCAAATGATTCATTTAAATGTATGTTCATAGCAGTTAAAGACACTTACTATAAAGTGGGCTCCTTGCATTTACTGTTGTCCAATGTGATATTCCAAGTGTCCCTTGTATCTTCATCTATTGTCTTTAATTCCTAGTGTTCCTTGTATTTCCATCTATTGTCTTTAAGTTATGACAAATATTCAATATGGCAAAACAAATGAGAAGATGATATATTAAAGAGATTCAAAATGAGAAATGGACAGAGGGAAGTTGGAGATTTTGAAAAGTCTTCTTTGCGATGTCGGACAGGCGATTATGTCAGTAATCCTAACTTGACATTGAGGGAACAAATGGTTTTATCAAGATCTTACAGATATCTTAACAGACTTTCTCCGACAAAATATTGCAAACCTACTCATATACGGAACCTCAGATACCCAGTGGATGGAGAAAATGTATTTTTTTTAAATGTTCCACAGAAGAAAAAACTCATCCAGGTTTGGATTGACCTTTGAATGATGACAGAATTTTAATTTTGGGCGAAATATTCCTGTAGTTTTTATAACAATGGCTTTGTATGTTTTGTTTGCCTGATTAACTGACTGACGAGCAAAAACTGTCTATGCTAAATGTCTTTATAGATGATTTTTCAGGTATGTCTGTTGCTGAAATTCAGTCAGTATGAGATACTGTATGTAGACACCCAGTGGGTGTGAGAAAAGTGTCACCCTCTGTGTGTGAGTGGATTTCCAAGTGTGAGGATTTAGGAAAATTTAATTTATATTTTGAAAGGTATGAGACTTTTGAGTGGATTATACTGAGATATTGTCAGATCACAAAGCCTGTATTATTTTCATGTTGTATTTTAACCAAAAGGTTTCTCTATTATATCTCATATTTTCTGCTGTATTTTATTTTTTCTTTTATTTGGTTTAGAATTGACACCCAAACCATAACGAATCATAAAAAAATAAATGAATAAAAATAAAATAATAATGTAAATGTTAATGTAAATGTAAAAATTCTAAAGAATTGCTTGAAATATCGACTAAATGTGGAATTGTTGCAACCATTAAATGGTGTGATTATTTGTGCTATGGGGTTTTCTCTCACTTCTGAGAGTAGAGCAGAGTATATAGTCAATACTGTATGATATTGTAAGAATTATGCAATTTTTGGATTACTTACATTTATATAGGTCTTTAACTAATACACTTATGTCAACAGTGTACCTGTTGTGTTTATGTCACATAGCAAAACAGTTTTGCTGCTACTGAGGTGGGATATGGTTAAGGTTAGGGGCAGGTTTGGTGGTATCGTTAGAAAGTGTAGGGGTAGGATCAACACTGTAATTATTGATGTGACTACAAAAATTAATTATAGATGTAATTACAGGAAGGTGTTTTTAAATATAAGTACAATGTTAAAATATGCATGTACATAATAAGTGCATTGTATCAAATGATTCATTTAAATGTATGTTCATAGCAGTTAAAGACACTTACTATAAAGTGGGCTCCTTGCATTTACTGTTGTCCAATGTGATATTCCAAGTGTCCCTTGTATCTTCATCTATTGTCTTTAATTCCTAGTGTTCCTTGTATTTCCATCTATTGTCTTTAAGTTATGACAAATATTCAATATGGCAAAACAAATGAGAAGATGATATATTAAAGAGATTCAAAATGAGAAATGGACAGAGGGAAGTTGGAGATTTTGAAAAGTCTTCTTTGCGATGTTGGACAGGCGATTATGTCAGTAATCCTAACTTGACATTGAGGGAACGAATGGTTTTATCAAGATCTTACAGATATCTTAACAGACTTTCTCCGACAAAAAATATTGCAAACCTACTCATATACGGACTCACATTTACCTGTGTGCATAAAGTATATATCTGGCCCAACTTTGCCATTCATTGACACACACAAAGATAATCCAGGATTATGGATAAATATTGCCACAGGCCTGTTAAAGGGATAGTTCACTCAAAAATGAACATTTGATGTTTATCTGCTTACCCCCAGGGCATCCAAGATGTAGGTGACTTTGTTTCTTCAGTAGAACACATATGATGATTTTTAAGTCCAACCGTTGCAG